AGATTTTATTTATTTATTTGACAGAGACAGAGATAGCGAGAGCAGGAACACAAGCAGCGGGAGTGGGAGAGGGAGAAGCAGGCTTCCCCTCGAGGAGGGAGCCCGATGTGGGACTCGATCCCAGGACCCTGGGATCATGACCTGAGCCGAAGGGAGACGCTTAATGACTGAGCCACCCAGGCACCCCAACTTGATATTTCTAACATATTTTAGCAAACAGCATAATAAATGTTTCTTGAGTGGGGGAGGGGAGAAAGGCGGGGAAGCTTTTTCCACCCTCACAGGTTAAAAAATGCAGGCCAATGTCAACCAAATTATCAGGGAATTAGCTCTAATTCTACTTCTCCTTTGGCCCATCTAATCAAGAGTTGACTCAGCTTCTAAAGTCTAGGCATGGAAGTAAAGCTTTATCCTCCCGCTAAGACTGCCCTCCCTCAGGGTGCCACACAACCTCAGACACGCCTTTAATCACATACCTGAGTCCGCCTTCTTGTCCTGACCTTGGTTCTTGAGTGCCCCTTTGCTTGGTGAGTCTTCAAGGGTTATTTCCTGGAAGATGGTGGCTGGGCCACAGAAGACGAAGCAGGGGGGAGAGAAGGCTCATATCCAGCAGGCTGGGCTGCCATAAATCTGCTAGACCCAGCTCCATTTCCAGCAGGTGGAACTTCATATCCTGGAGGCGGGGCTTCATTTGCAGCAGGTGGGGTTTCATTTGCAGCGGGTGAAGCTTCATTTCCAGCTGGTAGGGGTCCATATCCTGTAGGGGGGGTTCCATATACCCCAGGTGGGGGTCTGTATCCCACAGGTGGGGACCCATATCCTGCTTGTGGGGGTCCGTATCCCACCTGTGGGGTTCCATACACCCCTGGTGAGAGTCTGTATCCCGCCTGTGAGGGTACGTATCCCGCCTGCAGGTGTCCGTATCCCACTTGTGGGGTTCCGTATCCTGCCTGTGGGGCTCCACAGACAACAAATGGGTATGCTGAGAAGGAAAAAAAAAAATCAGTTACTCATTTTTTAGAGTGGACAAGGAGTAGGTAAGAAGGAGGAAGAAGCAAACTGACACAGGAAGAGAATTCAGGCAGAATAATGCTAAAGCCGGATCCTTCAGCCACCACAAGATGAAGGTTTTATCATTTCCTGTTGTGGAGGGGTTCAAATTAACATGAAAATAACCCTACAGTTATATCTCTATATTACTTATAGTTGTGCTCATAGATATAATTTACTTAATTTTGTTTGAGTATGAAGAAAGTAATACATGCTCAATGGGAATATGCATTTGGAAAATAGAGAAAAGATGAACTTTAAAAGTCATCTATAATTCCACTCTCAAAGACAAAAACTTAATATTTTGGTGTATTTCTTTGTAGGAGCTCTGTTAATATTTTTATACAATCACAATCATAACACCCACACATTTTTTTATCTGGCTCTTTTTACTTGACATTGTAAAAAATTTCTTTATATTATTAACATATTTCATACATTAAAAGTTGGACAATATTTTATCACATGGATAGGTGCTACTTAATTTCCCTGCTGTAGGAGAGCATGTTGTTTCCAACTTTCTTTTTTTTAGATTTTATTTATTTATTTATTTGAGAGAGAGAGCACGCTCGAGCTCAAGCACCGGAGGGGGGAGAGGCAGAGGGAGAGGGAGAAAGTCTTAAGCAGACTCCACATTGAGCTCGAAGACGAGGTGGACCTGATCCCAGGACCCTGAGATCACCACCTAAGCTGAAACCAAGAGTCTGACACTTAACTGCACCACCCAGGCACCCCGTTTCCAACTTTCTAATTCACATTGCAATAAACCTGGGCTTTATTTATTTTCTTGGCTACATTTCCAAAGTGGTTTAACTGAGTCAATGAATGGACAACTGTCAAGTTATTTTGCTGTAATACATATTTATGTTTCAGCTAACTAGAAAAAACTTTAAAAGAATGGTCTTAAAGATTCTCAAAGAACTAAAGGAAAATGTGGAGGAAGTCAAGAAAATGATGTATGCATCAAACACAAATATCAGTAGAGGTGGAAAACTTAACAAGAAACCAAAAAGAAATTCTGGAGCTGAATAGTACAGTAACTGAAATGAAAAATTCACTAGAGGGATTCAAATTCAGATTTGAGTAGGCAGAAGAATGAATCCGTTAACTTGAAGATAAGACAATGGAAACAGTAGAGGTTGAGGAATAGGGAAAAAAACAACAACAACCCAACCAAACACTGAAGAACAGTGAACTGAGGGACCTGTGGAACACCACCGAGCAGACCAACATACATACTGTGGAAGTCCCAGAAGGAGGAGAAAAAGGGACAGAGCAAATATTTGAAGAAATAATGTGTAAACTTCCCACATTTGACGAAAACATGAATATAAACATCCAGGAAGCTCAATAAACTTCAAGTAAGATCAACTTAAAGAAACACACGCTGAGATACATTCTAATTAAACTTTCAAAAGACAGAGACAAAGGGAGAATCTTGAAAGCAGCAAGAGAGAAGTGAATCATCACATATAAGGGATCCTCAATAAGATAATTAGCAGATTTCTCATCAGAAACTTTAGAGGCCAGAAATAAACTGTCAAAACAAGAATCCTCTATTTGGCCAAACTCCTTCAAGAGTGAGGGAGAAATGAAGATGTTCCCAGATAAACAAAAGCTGAAGTTCATTCCTGCAGGGCAAGAAGTGCTTAAGGTAGTCCTGCAGGGTGAAGTGAAAGGACAACAGACAATAATTTAAAGCCATCTTTATAGAACTAAAGATCTCAGTAAAGGTGAATCACTAGACAATTACAAAAGCTAGTATTTTTCTACCAATGGCTTGTAATTCCATTTTTTTGTTTGTTTTCTACATAATTTAAGAGACTAATGCATTTATTTATTTATTTTAAAGATTTTTATTTATTAAGAAGAGAGAGAGAGCGCATGAAAGTGGGGGAAGGAGCAGAAGGGGAGGGAGGAGGAGGGGGAAAAGAATCTCAAGAAAACTCCAAACTGACCACAGAGCCTGACACAGGGCTCGATCTCACGACCCTGAGATCACAACCTGAGCTGAAACCAAGAGTCAGAGGCTTAACCAACTGAGCCACCCAGGCACCTCTAAGAGATGAATGCATTTAAAAGAATTATTAGATTATATTTTTAGGTACACAACTATAAAGATGTAATTTTGTGACATCAGTTGTGTACAAAACTAAAAGCTGGTAGACATGTAATGTCATGTTCCAAGGAGAACTCAAGAAAGGGCTACATTTTGGGGCCTGTTGACAGCCTGTTAGGAGACCCTTTGTGGCCCACCTGTAGGCTGTGGACCACGTTTGAGAATCACTGTGGACAGGCACAACTGTTAAGGGGCACAGGGCATAAAGCTGGAGTCCTCAGTGAGGATGAAGGGCATGGCACAAGCATGATGGCTATATTTGTGTGAAATGGGAAGGGGGAGGTGGGGAAGAGCACACTTTTTCTGCTCAGGCTATAAGCAGGAAGTGACTGTTCCCGCTAACAGGGTTTCCCAGGTATGCTCCATATGTGTGTACATTACAATTAAAAGTAAGCCTGAAACTGAAGCCCAGTCACTTGCTGACCTGCCACTGGGCTTCAGTCTAGAAACGAAGTCATGGACTCAACTATTTTCCAATTCCCTAAACTTCTCCTGTTTCTCCCGTAGCAAACTTGGAGGCAAACTAGTAATGAGTGGATCTTTGAGCCCCTGGCATACTTTTCCACCTCCCAAGAAGAACTTCCCTGCCATTCCTTACCTGGACAAGGCATCTGTTGGGAGCACATCATGGCCCCCTGCCCAGTAACTACATACAGTCCTGGAGTGCTGAACCAGTAATTTACACTTCCAAGTGGAACTCCTCTGGCAGCTGAGAAGACAAGTTTGGCAAAATAAGGACTTCTTAATTCTTTTAAGTCAGATGTACAGTAGCTATCAACCAAATAATTAATTGAGTATCAACCATCATCTTACATGTGTGTCCAACAACGCTCCCAGGATACAAGATAAAAAATATACACCTCCCTTGTCCTGAACTGTATGCTTCTTGAGGACAGAGATTGTGTCTTATTTGTCTGTGCTTATTCAGGGCCTAGCATAGCACTTACCATAAAAAATATTCAGAAAACATTTCCAAGTGAGGATTCTATCAAGTTGGCAAGATACATCCATTAAAGACCAATGTAATGGCAATGTGATACAGAAGAAAGAAAGCACTTCTTGTTATCTTCCTCGGCATCTCTCTTATAAGGACCCTTGTGATGGCATTTGGAGCCCACCTGGATAATCCAGGGTAATCTCCTCATCTCAAGATCCTTAAATTAATTACATCTGCAAAGATTCTTTTTCCAAACAAGGCAACATTCACAGATTCTGAGGACTAGGACATGGATATATCTTTGGGAACCGTTATCAGCATACCACACTAATTTCTGGCCTATGGTATATGACAGAAGTAATGTACACCACTTCCAGGTCTTCCCTGGTGCAAGCTTCCCTGGTGAAATCTTTACTCTTTCCCTCTCTGCTGGCTATCCAGGGGGGCTGTGGAAGCCATGCTTTAAAGATGGCAGAGACCCTAGTACCCTGGGTCCCTAAAGGGCTATGTGGTTCAGAGCCCCCTTTTACCCCTGCTGATTGTCCTTTACATAAGCAGTAATATCTATTGACTTAAGCTATTGATAATTTGGGGTTTATCTGTTTCAGTAGCTAGCATTATCTTAACTAATTCATTATAAATCTAAAGTTGTCCGCTTTACCCCTATTATCCTCCTTTTCAATATCCTATTCATATTCTCCCCAGAAGTAATTATTTTATTAATTTATGTTTGCTTATTTCTTCTTTTTTTTTTAAAGATTTTATTTATTTATTTGACAGAGAGAGAGAGCACAAATAGGCAGAGCAGCAGGCAGAGGGGGAGGGAGAAGAAGGCTACCCGCTGAGCAAGGAGCCCAACGCGGGGTTCCATCCCAGGACCCTGGGATCATGATCTGAACCAAAGGCAGACATTTGATGACTGAGCCATCCAGGCGTCTCTGTTTGCTTATTTCTTATATGACTCTCACTAGACTGTAAGTTTAACAACGGTAGGGACTATGACGCCTTGCTCACTGTTGTGTTCTCAATTATCTCATACAGTGTTTGGCAAACAATAGGTACTCAATATATATTTGGTAAAAACAAGAATCAAAGAGCCCCAACAAGTCAGCTCTGCAGAGGGGAAGGGACTTCTGCAAAGTGTCAAAGAATCAGATCATGAAGCATGATGGGTAGTTAATTCTAAAGGCCTCAAGGAAGCCCATCTCACAAGCCCTGACTCTTACTGGGGGAGTGGGGGTAGGCTCCCACACATAAGCCATGATATAATCAGACCCATAATAGGTCCAGACATTGGGCCAAGTTCACATAAGTTGCCTAAATTCTTCCCAAGTAGCTATGTAACTACTGGGACTCTGTAGCTTTGCAGGCCAAGGAACAGATCTTAATGAGAGCACAAAGAGGATCCCCACACATTGCCTGATTCTTAGTCCATAATCCTAAAAATAAGCCCCCATCAGTACTGTGAGGCCAAAAATAAGAGTAAATTCAAGACTCAGTATACAGTTATTCTGAGTTCTGCATACATCTGTAGCAAAGAGGAGCTGGACTTCCAAGTGTCCCCTGACTCTGGGTTCCACATGGCTATGCTCTGTCTGCCAGGACACCTTGTTATCCAGTGTCAGGCTTCCAGATGCTGTCTGTTCTTTGGACAACGATGAGCTGTTGGTTGAGTACGGCGTGTGAACTCCTTGGCCTTTATATCTTTGCACTGTATCTTAAAGGTAACAGTAAAAAATTTCTTACTCCTCAATTTCCTATATATGGCTTTTCTGCCACCTGTCTTCTTTAGCATTTCTCTCTTGTTAAGACCACCAACAAACTCAAATTTCCACATGTAATGCACATTTTTCAGTCTTAATTTTATCAAACATCTCTGTAGCAGCTGACAGATGACCACTCAGTAATGCTTGAAACTTTCCTTCCTTGACCTCTGGGATAATAAACTCACTCAATTCTCCTCCTACCTCAGTCAGCCCCTTTGCAATCTTCATTTCGATCACCCCTCCCTACCCATCCCTGAGATGTTGAGGACCCTTGGAATACCATCCTTAAGTCACTGAATGATCCTATTACTCACATGGCTCCAGAGATGACCTGTGTGCTGAGGATTTCTAAATCAGTCTCTAGATATAGTTCATCTTTGGAGCTCCAAGCTGCACATCCACTGGCCACTAGCATTCCGATGTACCTCACATTTAATAAGATGCAGGAATTAAGAGTATAGGATCAAAAGAATACAACATCACTTAATACAGTATTCCTGCCAAAATGCATGACCTGCATCTGAGCATGAGGAAACAGACAAACCCAAATTAAGGGACGTTCTACAAAATAATAAGCCTGTATTCTCTTTAAAATGTCAATGTCAAGAAAGACAAAGAAAGGTTGAGTCCTTATTAAAGGAGACCAAAGACGTAGGACAACTAAATTCAACGTGTAATCTGGGATTAGATCCTTATTGGAAAAAAAAAAGTGTGCTATTAGAATTAGGAACAGTAATGGCTTAATCATTTGAATTTGAATATAAACCATATATTAAATAATAGCATTGTTTCTATGTTAAATTTTCTGAATTTGGTAAGTAGACTGAGGGTAGATAAGAGAATACCCTTGCTCCTAAATACTTAGGAATGAAGGAAATGATCTTTGTGACTTACTCCCAAATAGTTCAGTAAAAACAAAAGCAAAGGGGCGCCTGGGTGGCTCAGTCATTAAGAGTCTGCCTTCAGCTCAGATCATGATCCCAGGGTCCTGGGATCGAGCCCCACATCGGGCTCCCTCCTCCGCAGGAAGCCTGCTTCTCCCTCTCCCACTCCCCCTGCTTGTGTTCCTTCTCTGGCTGTGTCTGTCAAATAAATAAATAAAAGCTTAATTAAAAAAGAATAAGATAAAGCAAATGTGGGAAAATGTTAATAATGGGTGAATCTAGACAAATGGTCCATGAGAGTTTGTTGTAATATTCTTGCAACTTTTCCATAGATATGATTATTTTTTCAAAATAAAAAGTTCAAAAAAAGAGCGAGAAGAGGTTTAGGGTTCAGATTCTAGCTCCATCACTGTCTACCTGGACAGCCTTGGGAAACTGTATAACCATCACTGCCTCAGTTTCCCCTGTTATCAACTGGGGATAATGATTGTAGCTACATCATAAGTTTTTGTGAGGGTTACAAATATTGACACATGTAAAGGGCTTGGAACACTGCCCACTATATGGTAAGCATTCATTAAATGTTAGTATTATTATATCTAAAATTGAACTCATTTCTTCTCCAACTCAGACTGTCTCTTGTATTCTTAACCATGGTTTATAGCATCATGATCTAGTCAGTCTTCTGAGCTAGAAAATTCATTCCATCCTTCTGTGTCCCCAGCACTTTGTCCATGTCTCTATTATGGCATATTTGCCTATGTCTGTCTCAACTAGATTGTGTTCATCTCAACTAGATAGGAGTTGGGGGTGGAGGCAAGGGAGAAAGAGAAAGAACATTCCAGATAGAGCAAATTTCAGGGCACCTGGTGGGCTCAGTCAGTAGAGCATGTGACTCTTGATCCTGGGGTCATGAGTTCAAGCCCCATATTGGGTATAGAGTTTACTTTAAAAATATAAATAAATTAATTAATTAGTTAATTAATTTAAAAAATTACCCATAAAGAACAAATAGCATGAAGGCTCAGAAATGAGAGAACAAGGCACAAAGAAGTCTAGTTAGATTGGAGTACAAAAGGTGAGAGAGTAGGGATATGAAATGAGGCTAGATTAAATAAAAATATATCATTAAGGGATTTATTTATTTTTTTAGTAGGCTCTATGCCCAACATGGGACTTGAACTCAACCCCTAGATCAAGAGTCACATGCTCTACCGACTGAGCCAGCCAGGTGCCCCATAAAAGGATTACTTGTATTCAAAGTCTGAAAGAGTTATCTGGTATATATGTTAGATCAGTGCTGTAGTGCTTGACAATACCTCTTCCCTCTTCTCATGGAAGATGGGAACTAAACCTAAGAGAAGCAAAGGAAAAGCCAGAGAGGAGAAAAGACAAAAAGGCATGACAGAGGTAAAAGAGCTCAGGCAGCTGGGGCTCCCTGACCTGAAAATGAGACTACTCAGTGATATAAGACCAGCATTTAAATGGACAAAAGATTATCAGGTAAAATCAGTCATTCAGGTGTCTGAGTATAAGCTCCTGGTGGATTGCAACTCCTTTAAGACACGGAGGGACTGAATAATCTTGCTCCCAGCACGTGGTATGGTGCGTGTCCCATAGTAGGGAGGCTCAGGAAATGCCTGCTGAATACATGGGCAGCTACCAACTGCCTGACCACAGAGGCCAAAGTCTTGACCCGGGGGGTGACAGTACTACTTCAATTCCACAGGCCTCAAAACCCCAAGGCATTTAGTATCTTTATTAGCATTGCTCACCAGCAGAGGCAGCTTTCATCATCAACTGGGCAAATTCGATGGCACCTCCTTTTCTGAAGGCTAATTTAAAAGTAGCCTGTCCATCCCAGCCACCTGGGGGAAGAAATGGCACACTCACTAAGATGCTGGCACCGCTGCCCAGAGAGGACTGCCCCAGACAGAGAGAGAAGCACTACCCAAAGGAGCAGGGCAGCTTTCTTTAAATTCCAGCATGAGCCAAGTCTGAATCTTAAACCTTCTGGAAGCTTTTGAGAAAAAAAAAAAAAAACACTTCTGAAGGGGAACACTTACCATCTGGAGCTGCCTGAATGATTCCTTTAATGAAGTTGGAGGTAAAGACTGGCTGTTCGATGGTGCAGTTACTCATTAGATCAAATGGCATCATAAAAGAAGACATGGAGTCATTGACTGTGTGTGAGGTCACGAAGATCACCTAGGAGAAGGAAAGAAATTTCAGAGAAGGAATGCAGTTTGTCCACAGATTGAGACATAGCAGAGCAATTCTAAGGTCAAGGCTGCTTTGACATCCTGGCCTAATTGAGAAACATCACCCATTTTCTTCCATATTCCTCAACATGGAAAATCATAAAAGTGTGAATGTTTTAAAACACTTTGAAAGTCAATGTCTAACCTCTCTCCATTTTAAGGAAAACAAATGTGCAGTTAATCCGATCAAAGTAGAAGTAGAATTACCCGGTATGAAGTGAGAAACAGTGTTCCCTTCTTTGTACCACTGAAGAGACTGGATCCCTCTGGTTGCTGTAGAAAGGAGAGCTCTACATCCTGACACTGAGCCAAGATACTGCAGAAAAGAAAGGGCAGACACAACACAATTTAGAAGTTATATAAAATGACACATATAAAGCTTTTAGCACAGTCCTAGTCCAGAGTAAGCACTCAATAAATGTTAGCTGCTGGTGCTACTGCCATTATTTTATTGAAACAGAAAGGAAATTAAACGATCTTATTCTCTGACTGTTCACTTATTCTTCTCCCTTTTATCACTGGGTTTTTTTTTAAAGATTTATTTATTTATTTTAGAGAGAAAAGTGCACAAGCAGGGGGAGGGGCAGAGGGAGAGGGAGAGGGGAAGCGGACTCCCTGCTGAGTGGGGAGCCCTACATGGGGCTTGATCTCAGGACCCTGAAATCATGACCTGAGCTGAAACCAAGAGTCAGAGGCTTACCTGACTGTGCCACCCAGGCGCCCCAGGTTCTTTTTTTTTCTTATAAAATTTACCTTCTTCTTTTTTTTTCTTTTCTTTTTTTTTTTTTTAATTTATTTGACAGAGAGAGAGACAACCAGAGAGGGAACACAAGCAGGGGGAGTGGGAAAGGGAGAAGAAGGCTTCCCGCAGAGCAGGGAGCCCGATGTGGGTCTCGATCCCAGGACCCTGGGATCATGACCCGAGCCAAAGGCAGACGCTTAACGACTGAGCCACCCAGGCGCCCCTAAAATTTACCTTCTTCTTAATGTTTACTCATTAATTTCTTTCTTTATGTGCAGGAAGTATTAAGCACTGTGGTAATGGAAATGTTTCCCTAACTCTTATAGAGACGGTAAGGCACACAGAGTGCTCCAGATTCCTCTGGCATGTTGTTCACTCTACCTGTCATGTTCTCCCTCACTATTAACCTGAGAAACTTGGACTCATCGTATTCTCACTCACAGAATCCTATTGGGGGGGTGCCTGGGTGGCTCAGTCGTTAAGCGTCTGCCTTCGGCTCAGGTCATGATCCCAGGGTCCTGGGATTGAGCCCCGCATCAGGCTCCCTGCTCGACGGGAAGCCTGCTTCTCTCTCTCACACTCCCCCTGCTTGTGTTCCCTCTCTCGCTGTGTTTCTCTCTGTCAAATAAATAAATAAAATCTTTAAAAAAAAAAAAAAAGAATCCTATTGGGTTTCTTCTCTTTCTAAGTAATTATTATAATAGATATGTGCTTATTTGTTCAATGTCTTAACTAATGATCATTAAGGACAATGTCTTTCCACTCTAGCCCTAGCAAACAGTGGGTGCTACTAAATATTTATCAAAAGAATGAATGAATGAAAACATGATTATAGATAATAATGCAAGCAGTAATATGACATACATCACATTAATGGCACAAAAATGTCATAGCAATTTAGTGGAAGGAGATTAGCTTTGGTTGAAGTGATTAAAAATGACTTTACAGAAAGGTTGAAGTGTGAGTTGATTCTTAAGATATGAATAGTGTTTCCATAGGCAGAGGTGAAGGTAGGGGACAATCCAGATGGGGAACAAACAGCATGAATGGAGGTGCGAGAGCAGCATCAGTGGAGGTATGCAGTGGAAAGCAAATTGCACACTTGGGAGCAGCCTACCTGTGTGGATTCATCAAAACAGCACGGGAGTGAGGGGGGCGCGGGGAGAGCAGTGAGATAGAGGTGGAAAGCCATGCTGGAACTAGAGATTGGAGACACCATTTAAAAGGCAAGAAGAAACTGTGAGCTGCAGCTCTTGCAGCAGGCTAGTCACATGATCAAGGAGGTGGTGGTATATCAGAGGCACCACTTTAAGAATCCCTAAGGGGTGCTGTGCTGGCTCAGTCAGTAGAGCATGCAGCTCTTGATCTTGGAGTCATGAGTTCAAGTCCCATATTGGGTGTGGAGATTACTTAAAAAAAAAAAAAAAGAATCCCTAAAATATTCCTGATGTGCAGTGATAAGAACCGGAACTGGGGTGGTGGTGTGTTGATAAAAAGGGCTTTTTAAGATACAATGAAAATATAGGATGCCAGCAAAAATGTCAGGAAAAATAGGAACTCCAGGAGTGCCTGTCTGGTGCAGTCGGTTGAGTGTCAGACTCTTGGTTTGGGGTCAGGTTGTGGTCTCAGGGTCTGGGATCATGTCCCGAGTCATGGTCCACACTCAGCGAGGAGTCTGCTTGGGACACTCTCTCCCTTTCCCTCTGCGCCTCCTCTCTCTCTTTCTCTCAAGTAAATAAATAAATCTTAAAACAAATAGGGAACTCCAAAACTCAGTTCAGAACTCTGGAATCTAATCAAAACCTTATAGCAACTAAGAGAATGTTTAATCAAGACAAAATAGTTGAGTCTCAATAAGAGAGCTTTGTGACACTTTAACTTATCCTGGTACCATCCCCCAATCCCCAGTTTGGCAACAGCCTTAAAAATAACCCACATTCCGAGTGTGGTGTCAAGTACCAAAGGGAGCAGAACACACCTTATTCTCAAAGAATTGTGGTTGTTTTAACTTGTCTGATAGCTCCCTGAGGGGCTGGCTCAAAGGGTATGTGCCTAATTCAGGAACTACCCAGGTGACTACCCAGGGTGCATCTGTCAAAAACAGTTCAAGGTAAATGTATTAGTTGCTGCTATCTGGGGCAAAGGATGACACTTAGTGCAAACAAACAAAACTGAAAAGTTAGGGAGGAAAGGCTGATGAGATGCTTTAGGGAATAAAGGCTTTGAAAAGCTCTGACCATATTCATGGGAATCTAGAAAGCCATGTGCATATCTGCCCAGGGCTGGATTCATGCTCAGAAGAAAACTGAGAAGGCCCAAAACTTTTACCTCTGGTTGACAACGAGGCTCTGCTCAAGCAGGAAGTGAAAGCTAAGACAGAGCTGTAAACTGCCTGGCTGAGTGACAAAAACATGCTCCAAACACATAAGTAGACCCCATCTGCAAAAGCGGGAAGTTTTTGTTTTATTTTTGGGGTTTTTCGTTTTGTTTTGGTTTTGGTTTTGGGTTCAGATATATGAGGAAATAGTCAAATCACTAGTTGGCTACTAAGTTAACAAGAGACTTCAGTGGCCACACATGACAAAGAGTACAAACTTTACAAAATTTATAATTCAGAAAAGCCATTAAACAAACAATAACTACAACAAGCAGCAACAAAGTACCCTGAGGAAGAGAGAAAATCTGATTTTCAGAGTTGCCAAATTATAATATTCAGAATGTCAAGTTTTCAACAACAAAAAATCACGAGACATGCAAAGAAACAAGTAAGTATAGCCCATATGTTCTTCTGTGAACATTAGACAATCAAATTAATAGAAACTGCCTTGAGGAAGCCCACGCATTGGATTAACTAAAGACATTATTTGTTTGTTTGTTTGTTTGTTTTTTAGGTGAACTCCACCCACAACGTGGTGCTCAAACTCCCAACTCCAAGATCAAGAGTCACACGCTCTACTGACTGAACCAGCCAGGCACCCCACTAGACCAAGACTTTAAATAAACTATTTTAAGTATGCTTAAAAAATTAAAGGAAACTATGTCTAAATAACCAAAGGAGATAATGAGAACAATGTCTCAAAAAGAAGAGAATATCAATAAAGAGACAGAAATAGAAAAATGAGCCAAATAGAAATTCTGAAGGTGGAGACTACAATAGGTAAAATGAAAAATTCAATAGTGCTGGGATTAATGGCAGATTTCGGCAGGCAGAGGAAAGAATCAGTGAACTTGAAGATAGGTCAATTAAGAATAACAGTTACTGGGGCGCCTGGGTGGCTCAGTCGTTAGGCGTCTGCCTTTGGCTCAGGTCATGATCTCAGGGTCCTGGAATCGAGCCCCGCATCGGGCTCCCTGCTCAGCAGGAAGCCTGCTTCTCCCTCTCCCACTCCCCCTGCTTGTGCTCCTTCTCTCGCTTTGTCTCTCTCTGTCAAATAAATAAATAAAATCTTTTTTTTTATAAATAAAATCTTAAAAAAAAAAAAAGGAATAACAATTACTACCCAAGTAACAAAGAAAAAAGAATGAAGAAAAATGAACAGAGTCTAACAGACCTGTTGGACAAAATCAAGCTTACAACCAAATGCATAATGAGACTGCCAGAAGGAGAGAGGGAAAAGGGGGGCATAAAGAAAATTTGAAGAAATAATGGCCAAAATCGCCTCCAATTTAATGAAAGACACGAATCTACATATCCAAGCTCAACAAACTCCTACTAGGACAAACTCAAAAAGATCCACACCAAGACACATTATAATCAAACTGCTGAAAGCCAAATACAGAGACTCTTAAAAGCAGCAAGAGAAAAGAATCATCATGTACAAAGAAACCTCAATAAGACAAATAGCTGACTTTTCATAAAAAACTATGGAGGCAGGGGCACCTGGGTGGCTCAGTCGGTTAAGTGGCTGCCTTTGGCTCAGGTCCTGATCCCAGGGTCTTGGGATCAAGCCCCACGTTGGGCTCCCTGCTCAGCGTGGAGTCTATTTGCCCCTCTACCTCTGCCCCTCCCCCTGCTTGTGCTCTCTCTCACTCTCTCAAATAAATTTTATTATTTAAAAAAATTTTTTTTAAAGATTTTTATTTACTTATTTGAGAGAGAGAGCAGGAGAGAGAGAGAGAGCACGAGTGGGGGGAGGAGTAGAGGGAGAGGAAGAAGCAGACTCCCCGCTGAGCAGGGAGCCTAACACAGGACTCGATCCCAGGACCCTGGGACAATGAGCCAAGCCGAAGGCAGATGCTTAACTGACTGAGCCACCCAGGCACCCCTCAAATAAATAAAATCTTAAAAAAAAAAACCCATAAAACTATGGAGGCAGGAGGTAGTGGGATGATGTATACAAAGTCCTAAAAAGAAAAAAAAATCTGTCAACCAAAAATTCTGTATCTGGCAAAACCATCCTTCAAAAATTAAGGAGAAATTAAAATATTACCAAGTAAACAAAAACTGAGAGTTCATCACTAATAGGTCTGAACTGTAAGAAATGCCAAAGGAAGTCCTTCAGCCTGAAATAAAAAGACACTAAAGGGGCACCTGGGTGGCTCAGTCAGTTAAGAGTCTAACTCTTGATTTCGGC